CGGCGCAGCCGCCCCCGGTACTTGTCCCCAACCATGAAGTACAAGATGGGGTCGAGGCAGCTGTTGACGCTGGCCAGGGGCCGCGTGATCTTGTAGGCGAAGTTGACGACGTTGAGGGTCTGGCAGCCAGCTTGGATGTAGCGGGAGGTGTAGTAGATGGTCCGGGTGATGTGGAAGGGCACGAAGCAGATGGCGAAGACGGTGAGCACGATGATGATCATCTTGATGGAGCGCTTCTTGTAGGAGGGCGTTCGGGGGTTGGGGCTGGAGAAGCTGGACTGGCTGAGCCTCTTGGCCATCAGGCAGTAGCACAGGACAATCACCAGGAAGGGGACCCCGAAGAGGAGGGCCATGACGGAGGAGCTGTAATGCACATAACGGTAGAACTCTGCGGGCCTGGTGGTGTCGTGGCACAGGGTGCTGTTGTTCTTGGAGCTGGTGGTGACGAAGATGAGGTTGGGGATGAGGCAGATGGTGACAACGAGCCAGGCGCCCACGCAAACGATGCGGGCGTGCTTGGTCTTCACCCACTTCAGGGAGCGGATGGGGTGGCAGATGCCCAGGTAGCGGTGGACGCTGATGCACGTGAGGAAGAGGATGCTGCTGTAGAGGTTAGCATAGAAGAGGAAGCGCACGATCTTGCAGAGCCATGTCCCGAAGGGCCAGTTATTGCGGTCGGCGTAATAGTAGACCAAGGTGGGGAGGGAGAGGACGTAGAGCATGTCGGAGACGGCCAGGTTGAACATGTAGGTGGTGGTGGCGGTCCAGGGCCTCATCCTGCAGATGAATATCCACAGGGCCCAAGAGTTGAGGGGCAGTCCCACCACGAAGACGATGCTGTAGGAGATGGGCAGCAGGATGAACTTGAACTCCTCGTCGAAGACGCACGTCGCCTCTGCCGCTGCTGTGGTGTTTGCTCCTGGCCAGGGAGACGACGTCGATGTCCACAGGGAAACTGGGAACGTCCTCACCGACGTGGCCATGTTCTCCGAGCCAGATCTGGGGGAGCAGTTAATAAAAGCGCATTAGCCATCGATCCCAACCATTGTCGGGCGCAAAGCATGGAGCGGAGCCGAAGATCCCAGATTTCCAACACCCCCCCCCCCCCCCCCCCCCGCCCCGGCGGCCCC